GTTGAGATCTGAGTGCTACTGCAACATACCTAATAATGTAAGTTCCAAGTAGAATTTTTATTACTTGATAACACAAAATTCCTTTGGGACAAAGGTAAAATTGGATTTTAAAAAAATGATGTGGCATTCCTCATGATGAGAGACAGTGGAGAGGTACTATATGAATGACAGAAGTCAACCCATGTGTCACTATGTTAAACTAAGAAAAGATTATAGAAATTAACTAAAACTAAAACAGACACGTCAACTTTCACCATCCAAACTGAGTGATGTGCAAAAAGCAAACAGTGAAGAGTAAGTTTATTTTACAAAATTATTCCATTTATAACAATCTGATTTGTTATTCATAACACAGAAAAGTGTTATTCAACTTTTGTTATTCAAAACACAGATTTTAGAGATACATCAAACCAGTATCAATAGACAGAAGTGAGCGCATAAAACAGCAGATTCCGAACTCCAATATTCCACAGTGAAAAGTATTTAGCGTGGGAAATTAAAATGATCCTTGCTTCACTAATGGAAATTCCCATATATGTAGATTCCTTCACATTTAAAAATGTTGAGTCCAGTGGCACCTTAAAGACTAACAGATTTATTTGGGCATAAACTTTCGTGGGTAAAAAAAAAAAAAACACTTTTAAGGTGCCACAGGACTCCTCATTGTTTTTGTGGATACAGACTAACACGGCTACCGCTCTGATATTTAAAAATGTTATGAACTCACATGATAGGAAAATATTCACATTCTATTGGCATCAGCCAGTAGCAGGCTAATCCTGTACCAATCTTGACATTATGAAAACTACATCACCATTACCCTGTTTTTATAAACTTCCATTGTTAGCCACATCATTGACACCTTTAAGGGTAAACCATTCTCTTAGTGTTGCTAGTTTTACAGTGCATCAGCAATGAGCTACCTCCACTCATCTGGGATTTATCTCAAGCTGCTACCAAACAATGGCCATACCTATTGTATACTCTATCATTTCCAAAGCGGACCTGTAAAAGTGCATCTCATAACATATAATTGTACTCTGCGAGACTTGACTTTGTGCGCATTTAAGCACAAAAGGCTTGATCCGCTGCTCACAAAACTCAATGAAAATACTCCCATTCACTTCAGCAGCCTTTGGATTAGTCCAACAATCAGGGTCAAGAGAACTCTCAGCAACAACAGTGAGACATGGTTCAAAACTCAGAAGCAATAGGAATTGATGGATGAAACTAAGGACATTTGCTTTCTTTACATTTTAAGTGTATATGGCAGAGATCTGCAACCTTCTTGGCAGTGCCATTATCAATGTGACCTTTGGAAAAGCAAGTCAGTGAGATGAAGCTATTGAAAAGTACTTTAGAAAGAAATGAAGGACTCTTCGTGCCAAAGTGACACAGGTCTGAGTCTAGCATTCTAAGTTTTGCTGGACATAGTCTCATGGCTGGGAGGGGGCAGGGGTGTGAGAAGAGAAGGTGGGGGAATTTGGGACGTGCAGGGCTGCTGCAGCCAGAGAAAGAGGCGACTTTCCCCAGCTCCAGGGCTGCGGCTGCCGGGGAGAGACAGCCTTCCTTCCCAGCCCATCTCGATGGCTGCTGCGGTGGGGGAGAGAGGGCACATCCATCATATTAGAAAGGTAAGACTACTGATGTTAAAATATGAATTGTGTGCTTTTATTTGTAGAACAAAAAATGTTAATTATTATTACGGGTTTTTTAATATAGCGCTTTTATCCAAAGTGCTTTACAATAGTTAGCTAACAGTACAAACAACATTTGGAAAGATCATTAAGTGGTCCGCCGAGATCCTCAGCAATTTTCAAGTGGGCCACGAAAAGAAAAGTTTGAGAATCACTACCCTAGAATGCTTCTGTCACTATGGGCTTTCACACAGCAAGCCTTTGAGTGCGACCCCCACCCCTTATACATTAAAAACACTTTTTAAAATATTTATTACTATTATAAATTCTGGATGCAAAGCAAGGTTTGGGGGTGGAGGCTGACAGTTTGTGATCCGCATGTAATAACCTTGCAACCCCCTGAAGGGTCATGACCCCCAGTTTGAGACCCCCCGATATATCCTGTTTAGTTATCAGGTCTGAACTTCTGTCTCATTCATGTGGGTTTTTTTTAATGTCAGGTTAACATATTTAGCTGAATTGCAGGCAAGGTTTAAGGTCTAGTAAACTTATTCTGATACATGTCTAATAACTAAGTGTAAACCTAGGACTCCCACTGACATGAAAACAGAATTGAGTACATGCTTAGCAAACCATACTAGCTCAGAGACAAACTTCTAAAATGAGCTATGTTACACATTGTTGAGAAGTATTCCAGCACTCAGATCCTTAAAACATGCATTTGTTGTTCATTTACCCCTAACATGTCCGTTTATGGCTCTAAGTCATGTTGCTGGTCCGTAGTTCAGAATGCAATACTTATGCTGACATCATAGTGCACAAAACAGAGATCCCATTTCCAAATAATGATACATGAGGATTAGAAGCAATCATTTCTTTAGTCACTAATTTTCTGTAGAGTATTTGAAGGTAAATAACCACTATCTCCCTGAAATGCATATAGGGATATTTGTCCATGTTTGATTAAGTAATTTAATGCAAGCTTCCATTGGTATTGATGAGGCCTAAAAATCTAGTCTTCCTTCCTGAATCACTGATCCAATCTCACTGAAATCAAGAAGAATTTTTCCATTGACTTCAAAGGACTTTGGATCAGGTACAAGCTCTAAAACAGCATTTCTTACTTTAAATCTTGGCCCCACAAAAGTTCTTACTTCTTAGAATCCTATCTACCAGCTTCTGTTGCTCCAATCATGTATAACTAATGTCTGGCTGAGTAGAAAGGATTTTTTTCCCTTTCAGATACCAGCAGGCTAACTGAATTCAAGGCCAATTTCTTCCTTTCCCACAAAATATGTTTTATTACCACACTGCTCATGAGCTATGGTGCTCTTAATGTATCTTGCCAGTGCTATTGGATATATTCTGTTCAATGCCCTCCAGCACCTATTAAGCATGATCACCTTCCAACCCAGGCAAATGCTACCTCTAGGACATCCCCAAAATACTAATATTTAAGAGCTAGCTAGCACTAAGAAATCAGTTCTTTTTACTGAGATATGTTATTTATTTCATTTCTTTGGATTTACACAGATACTGAAAGGCACTTATTCATATATGCTTTAAGCACGCCTAACATCACATCATAAATACTTCAATATAACTAAAGAACATGACCTGAAGAAGAGCTCAGAATAGTTTGAAAGCTTGTCTTTCACCAACAGAAGATGGTCCAATAAAAGCTGTTACCTCTCCCACCTTGTCTCTCTAATAACTGAAGTACAGCAGTTCAATCGGTATAATAATGGCAATAATATAATAGCAATTTGTCTCTAAAAAGACTTTGGTTTTTCATTTTGGCCCCAGGACTGGATTTTTGCATAAGAATCAAGCATTTTCCCCAACAATCAAGCTTGCAGGTGGGCAAAGTTCCATCAAAACCTGCAACAAAACTGTGGTTTCAGTCAAAGTTTTTCTTGGCTGTTAAAACACGAGCTGTAATCCCTGCTTCGCTTTATGTGCCTTTCCCTGCCCTCCCAAACATATCATTGCCTATCTACCTCCAGTGTGTTCATGGCCTTTATAGCCAATACAACATTCCATAGTTTGGGATGCATGTGCTGCTCTCCTCCGGAGAGCCTAGTGGACATCTGCTCCTGGTTTAATGTATCAAGCCATGTGGGGAGGTTGCAGAGAAGGGGATTAATTTTGGAACCCTTCCCTCTTAGCATGGATGGGGCGGAGTTATCCCGAGAGTCTGAGCCACGCTGTCAGCTCCTTCCAAGAAATCCCTTTCTCCATAGGAAGCAGGAGCTCCAGGGAAAGTTTACAGCTAAGAACACAAAGGGTTAGGCAAAGCTTTGCTCTCGTCCTGATCCCAACCAATGCAGTAGGGAAGGACCCTCGTTTTCAGTAGAACAGCTAGGGCTAGGAAATCACAGCACAGAAAAGGATCAGAGGGAAGCCCCTGGCGGATACCTCTTGCCTGAAGAGGTGCAGTGCCTCTTGCTCAGGGTATCAGGAGTCCTGAAACGCAGGGAACCCTCACATGTTCAGCAAAGACAAAGACACCTTGCCCTAGATCAGTGGTTTTCAACCTGTGGTCCCTGGACCCCTGGGTCTCTGCACACTATGGCTAAGACTTTCAAAGGGAGCTGCACCTCCATTTGAAATATTGTAGCGGTCTGCAAATGAAAAAAGCTTGAAAATCACTGCCCTCAATCCCTGCAGCGCTGGAGGCAGCAGGTTACTTGTTCCCTTGCTTTATTATCATTATGCTCCTGGCTTCTGCACTGCCCCCCCCTTAACCTGCCCCCCCTCTCCTGACCTCTGCACTGTCCCTCCTTAACCTACACCCCTCCTGACCTCTGCACTGCCCCCCAACCTGCCCCTTCTACTGACATCTGAACAGTCCCGTGACCTGCACCCCTCCTGACCTCTGCACTGTCCCCCCCTTTACCTGCACCCCAATTCAGCCTGTGCACTGCCAACCTCTTCCCCCTTAACTCCTTAGCACACACCCTCCTGATCTCTCCACTGCCCCCCTTAACCTGCCCCCCTCTACTGACCTCTGCACTGTCCCGAGACCTGCACCCCTCCTGACCTCTGCACTCCCCCCCTTAACCTGCACCCCCTCCTAGGCTCTGCCCTGAACCTGCACCCCTTCCCTCCTAGCCTCTGCACTACTTCCCCCTTTCCCGTGCCCGGCCCCCACCCCCTTTCGCTGCCGTCCGGACCTCTCTCCCCCCTGCACTGGCCAGACAGACGCTGCCTGTTCCTGAGGGCAACTGCCCAGAAACTTTTCTCCCCCACAAAGCAGCGCGTCCTCCGCTCGGCTCCCGCTGGCCCGGGCCAGGGCCATCAGCTCCCCCGCCGCACTGCCCCCGAGCGGGGCGCCCCGGGCTCCGCCGCCCCGCGCCTTACCAGATGGCCAGCCGGCTCTTGGGGTAGCGCAGCCGCTCGAGGCAGCCGAGGCAGTGGGGCAGCGCGTGGGCAGCGTTCCTGGCGAGGATGGCGATGAAGACGGTGGGCTTCTGCAAAGGGGACTCCGGCAAAGGGGCCGAGCCCTCCGGCGGCTCCGCGGGAAAGCTGGCCCCGCTCCTCGCCCACAGCGAGCAGCACAGCAGCAGCCGGAGAGCGGGCAGCGCAGCCATGTTCCGGAGCGAGAAGTCCCGGGAGAAGCCGCCAGCCTGCAGACAGCGGAGCCTCGCTACTGGGGGATGGCGGGGGACTGCAGGTCCTCGCGGTGGGCAGGCTGAACGGGATGGAGAGGGGGCTGGGGCTGCACACACGACACGACACGCCCGTGTGCTCACCTCCCTCTGGCTCCAGCCGTCCCGGGTCAAGCAGCACAGCCCCAGCCCCTCGCCTCGCCTCTGAGCAACTCAAACCCTCCTTTTTCTGTGCTGTGTCCCCTCCGCTCCCCCTCGGGCTCAAGAACAACCCCACAAAGCAGCTTCCCAAACGAGTCGTGAATATTTTTACCAAGCCCCGAAATCTACTCTCCCGGCCTTACCATGAGATTAGAACAACATCGAATCGTTTATGAGCCAGTCCAAAAAAGAAAAGAAACCAAAGCCCCCTGAGCTGGGCGAACAGAATTTTGCAAGGCTGTCATCAAGTGCCCGATCAAGCCCCATATTTCTTGTGCACCCAAAAGTCATGACGACTTCAGAGAAAGAACTGGATGCAAAGGAGTGTCTGTATCCAGCCATTATACTTAACCATTGTTATTTTATAATTGCACCCTGTGTTTTATAACATAGGCTCCCCTTCCACACAGTTTAAATCCCACTGAAGTGCTTTGCAGAGTTTGGGCCTGTGGCATGGCAAGGGCGAAGAGGTCAGTTTAACAAAGGAAACACCAACCCAACCATTTAAACATTTAAAAGAAACATTTTGCACCTTTCATCCCAAAGAACCTTACACAGTTAAAACAGAGACACAGGGATCTCTTCCCCCTGAGGAGAGTGGACAGGAGGGCCTGCTCCGACTCAGCAGTCAGCTCCACGTCTTCCACCTCCAGGCCCTCAAAGACTCCTTTATGGTGCCGGTAGTCTGGTGTGGAGTGTACTGGTGCACACCTTCCTCCGCTGCCTCCGATTTGACCGGCAACTCTTCCACCTCGATCCAAGGGGGTCTCCTCCGAGACCTCCCCGAGATGCCGGTCTTTTCAGGTCTTTTCTATTCAGGACCTGGAAGCTAGTCTCAGCGACCAGGTCCACAGCAGCCACCAAGGGGGAGGACTTTCTTGCGGAACCTATTCAACACAACCTCCATTTCGGTGTGCAGGTGGCAGAGTCCCCCTCGGTGTGCCAGAGATTTGTCCTGGTAGGTACCACCAGGATCGGAGACCTCCTGGACTACAACCAGAAGGACTGGGTGGATCCCCTGGCACTCAGCTGGCACATGGGGCTCTCCACTCCTCATGTCCCCCATCATATATTCCAGGACGTGATGGCAGCCTTACCACCCACCTCCAGGCTCTCCTGAAGTGGATCCTTGGGGGGGGTGCTCCCCGCCCATCCCTCACTCCTGACCCTCCAGAGTTCACCTTCGGGCCTCTGCCCGGTGAGCCTCCCTGCCCACTCCCTATGCACCACCTGAGCCGTCTGTGTGACATGCAGCTGGTCCACCTCTGAACCATGCCTAGGAAACAGCTATACACGCTCATGCTCCACACCTTTCACTTCCTCACCCTTGTATCCCATCCTGACACCAAGTGGTGGGACCTCCTACCACCCATGGAGGGCGAGAAACCCCAGTGGGCCAGTCCATATTCCACCCTGGTCCCACGGCCCGCTGGGGATATTATCTGGCCGCTCCTTCATGGAGCAGTAAGCACGGGCATCTACCTTGAGCAGTTCACCACCTCCTCCAACACCTGCCCCTTTTGTGGTGAGCGGGAGACAATGGCACACATCTACATCGAATGTGCTATGTTGCAGCCCCTTTTCCGGCTCCTCCAGAACCTTCTTAAGTTCTTGCTGCATTTTTCCCTGCATTCCCTGATCTATGCACACCCCATCTGTGGCCCCACAAAGTCACGAGACCTCCTCACCAACCTCCTCCTGGTGCGGGCCCAGGTGGCTGTCCACCATACCAGGAGGAGGAAGCTGGACGGGGAGGCGCTCTGCAACTGTGGGGCCTACTTCTGATCTTCCCTTAAGTCACATCTCGGGGCAGAGTTCCTCTGGACTGTGTGCACTGGCTCCCTGGATGCCTTTGAGGAGCAGTGAGCATTGTTTGTGGTTCTCTGCTCTCTGTCCTCCTCCGGATCCCTGCTTTTGACATTCCTGTCCCTGATTTTTCCTTTGTTATCCCCCCGTAATCTTTTTTGTTGCCTGAGTCCAATGGCTCCTTCCCTTAGGCTGGGGGAGGGGGGCCTTAGATATGGGTGGGCTTGTGCCTGCCTATCACCAGGGCCTCAGTAGGTACACAGGGTTCTCTTACTCCACGTACCTGTGCTATCTCTGGGATAGAAGGCAGTAGCTAATTCACATTCCACAGCCATGCTTCATAGCAACTGAGGAAAGGAAGTTATCTTGCATTTTTGTACAAAGTGTTTTACAAATAGATGCCTCAGAATATCCAGATGAAATGAGCTAATATACTGTATCTAAAACAAACTGCAGGAGGTAATTTAGATAAGCAGAATGCAATTATCCAAGTTGGAAATTAGCTAAGACACTAAAATATTCACTGCATTTCATTAACTCTCCAGAAATATTCTCATGAATGGCCCTGAAAGGACCATCAATGCAACAGATTACAGTTTAACACTATGACCACACAACACCGACTGTAACAATTTATATTTGGGGATCACGATCTTAATAGGAGCATATGCCCAGATCCACAAAGATATCTAGGCTCCTAAATAGAAGCTAGGAGCCTAAACACTTTTATGGATCTGAGAGACAAGGTAGATGAAGTAATATCTTTTTTTGGACCAACTTCTCTTGGTGAGAGAGACAAGCCTTCGATCTTACATGGAGCTCTTCTTCAGGTCAGGGAAAGATACTCAAAGTGTGACAGCTAAATACAAGATTGAACAGATAGTTTAGCGTAAGTAGTTAGCATGTATTCTAAGGGACACTCAAGGTGAAGTGGACCATTAACACCCCTGTAGTCATCGGACAGAAAGGGGGGGTTACTGGGTTCCAGATTGTTGTAATAAACCATAAATCCAGTGTCTTTATTAAGATAAAATTTTAGTAAAGTTATGAATTTAAGATCCCAGGCTTGTCTTTTGAAAGTGTTGGGCAGGCTTCCTTTGAGGGTGAAGACTGATAGGTGAATTATGGAGTGATTGCTTTGTGAAGGTGTTCACCCACAGGTGCTAGGGCGTTTTTGTCTTTTATTATTTTCCTGTGTGTGTTCATTCGAGAGCGTGCTGTGTGAGATTGTGGATCTGGGCCCATTGTACTCACAGCTCCCACAGAAATGAATAGACATTACAGGTACTAAGCCCTTCTCAAGATAAAGTCTTGAGCACCTGGTGCTCCCTCCTGCTCCACTGAGTGGGGGGAATCTTGACTCTGCCCACTTAACACAGAACCAGCACAGCTGAGCTAATGCAGGGTGGGCACCATAGTAATAGAGATTACTCTCTCCCAAGAGGAAATAGGGAGCAGGGAAAAAGAAACACAATTCCTTCCTTGGGCAACACAGCCCCTTCCCAGCACAGAGCTAAATGTAAAGGGACAACCTAGCTCTAACCTATTTCACTTGATTCACTATGGGATGTTTTCAAAAGGTTGAGCATGGCTTTAGCTACACAACACAATGACTTTAACAAAAGCCATGTGTGGTTTGAACACTTTTTACATGACTTGCTTCCTCATGTTTTGTTAATGGCATCAAAGGTCCTTTTGGAACAGGAGTTACCATTCCGAATCAGACTGTATAGCAAAGTATCCTGCCGCCAGCAGCATCTGATGCTTTCAAGGAAGGCAGCTCCTCTTCAATGCCTTCCCCCTCCCACCACACGCACACGCACACACAGGCCAGCTGTGCTGTGTTGGTAAATGGGAACAATTCCCTCATAAGCATGAGGTGTGTTTATCCATGTATAATAAGGGTATGACACAGGAGTCAGACTCCACTTCATTTCCTACTCCCAATAACATGGGTCAGGGTTACAAAAGGTCAGATTTCTGATACATGGCAGGAGGCAGCAGCTACTGTTACAACTCATATAATTGTTTTGTTTATTAGTGGTCAAAAATATCCCATTGCTTTTTAAAATCCAGCAGTGCGTTTGACTCAAGGGCCAGTTGTGCTGTAACAGGACTGTTAGTCACTCCAAGGGTTGAGGTACTAGCCTGTGTAAGCAGGTTTAAAAAAAGGCTGGGAAAATCAACTATTCTGTCCGGGAGGAAGCAACACACCGATTTTCCTTTGGCCATAGGTCCCAAGGAAATAAAACAAATGCAGGCATCTTTCTTGAGTCCACTTCAGGTGTCCATACCAAACAGACAGGAACAGTTTGACTATGGGTACTCTCTTTGGCAGTACCATAGTCTCCATTAGTTCAGGCAGGCAGCAAATTCCCCCAGATACCTATTCAGGTGTGCTCTTCCCTGGATCAGCTGGAGAGCAGCTTCCTTCCCCTGCTAGGAACATACCACCCACAGACCTTGGAAGCCTCTATTTTCTTCTATTTTTTCCATACCTAGGAGGCACAGCTGTCCATTCCTCTGTCCAGGAGCCAAACAAGCCACAGCTGCCATCTCTTCCCTCCAGGTCTGGTAGCTCTTTCAAAACCAGCCACCTCTTTTGTGCCCACTGAAAGGCTTTAGCCCCTTCGTTGGTCACAAGGGAATAAGGTGTATGTGCCCTATCAAAGCTACACTTTTTAGACAGGCAAAGCTCCTGAAAATTGCCAGAATTAGAGAAGCAGGATTGGTCCCTCAGTGACCTCCTGCACCAGTGTAATCCACACACTGAATAAATGCTGAATAAATAGAGATGTCCTTTTATTTATCCTTCACCAATGGACCCAGTTGTTACCATATCATCATAACAGGATAAGAGAAGGGACTATTCATTTTTCCATTATGCTCAGCCTAAGTCTGAATACCTCAGTCAAGTCCCCTCTTGTTCTTCTTTTTCCCACGCTAACTAATTCCAGTCCGTGCCTTCCCTCTAAACATTTTAGTTGCCTGTCTCTGGTCATTTTCAGTCTCTGCCACATCTTTCTTGAGGTAGGTTGACTAAAACCGGGCACAATGCCCTCGAAGGGGACATTTAATTGTTTAATTTATGTCATTGCCATTTGTTCTTTATTATTCTCTTAATGCACCAACTATATATTTGTTTTTTATGCTGCTGCATACTGAGCAGACACCAGCGCCGAGCTATGCTTTAATGCCTCCTAACCAGGGATGGATTAATTTGGGCCAGTGTTTGAAATTCTACAAGCCAGGTGCCAAGCAAGGAGCTGCCAATTTCTGCAAAGGGAAATCTGGCATGCATTGGACTGTAGAAGCCCCATTCACATAGGGAATCAGTGATGATTATTTCTAGAGATGAGATATAGATATAATTTGAATCTACACAGATTATACAAACTTTAAATAATTAATAAAATATACCAAATTGCCTTTATTCAGATTCTTCCTTCCTCATCCTTCCCTCACTTTATATTTTCTATCCATATAGTCTCTCTTTCCCAGTGATGTTTTCATTCTAATTGTTGTTATGCACATTGTCAGGGTTTTGTCTTTACTTATTTTCTCTTTTCATCTTACCAACTCTTCTACCATAATCCTCCCTCAATTTAGCCTCTCTTCCTCTTTTTTTCCTTCAGCATTTCTTCTCCTGTCCACTTTGACCTCCTCGCTCTTGCTTTTTTTCCTTTCTTCCCCTTTTGTTTCTTTTTATTTCTTCCCCTCCTTTCTGTGTCATTGCTTCTCTCTCATTCACTTTCTCCTTTACCTTGAATTTCTCTACCTCCTTCCCTCAACCACCATCCTCCTCTATTCCCCACTTCCCTTCATCACCACTCCTTCCACACATACTACTTTACATGGCTGTAGTGAAAAATGATTGGTAAATATTTGTATGGCAACTGAACATGTAGAACACTATTATATAACCCTCATCCCTTCCTCCACCTCCTTCTCCCTCTCAATTCCCCTAATCCTCCTCTCCCCACCTGTCCATAGTGATGTTTGCTTGCTGCATTTCATGGTATGTCATGCATTTCTCTCTTGGTTTGTGGCATTTATTTAATGTCATCCACAGTTTATTTGTGTGGTAAGCACTGCGATGAGATGAGACAGAAAGGGGATAGACCAGGGGTGGGCAAACTACGGCCCGCAGGACGGATCCGGCCTGTCAGGGCTTTGGATCTGGCCCGCGGGATTGCCTTTCCTGTGGCACTGTGGGCCCCACGCCCCTCCCAGAAGCGGCGGGCAACACGTCCCTATGGCCCCTGGGGGGGCAGAGGGCTCTGTGCGCTGCCCTCACCTGCAGGCACCGACTCCCGCAGCTCCTATTGGCCGGGAACGGGGAACCGTGGCCAATGGGAGCTTCGGGAGAGGTACCCGCAGGCAAGGGCAGCACGTGGAACCCTCTACTCCCTCCTCCTGCAGGGGCCGCAGGGATGTGGTGCCGGCCGCTTCCGGGAGAGGCGCGGCATGGGGCCAGGACAGGCAGGGAGCCTGTCTTAGCTCTGCTGTGCACCGCTGCCACCCCAGAGCCGCTCCAGGTAAGCGGTGTGGGGCTGGAGCCTGCACCCCAACTTCCTGCCCTGAGCCCCCTGCCACACCCCACACCCCTTCTGCACCCCAACCCCCTGCCCGGAGCCCCCTGCCACACCGCAACCCCCTGCCCTGAGCCCCCAACCCCCTGCCGCACCCGCACCCCTACCCCAAGTCCTGAGCCTCTTCCAGCACACCGCACCCCCTGCTGCATCCTGCACTCTCTCCCGCACCCAACTCCCTGCCTCAGCCCTACATTCATGGCGCTGCATGCAATTTCCCCACCCAGATGCCCACCTCTCGGATAGACAGTGGGATGGAGAGAGAGGAAGAGGTGGGTGGCTAAAGTAGGGTTACCATCCGTCCGGGTTTCCCCGGACATGTCCGGGTTTTTCAGCCTTAAATGGCCGTCCGGGGGGGATTTCTAATTAAGTAGAAATGTCCGGGATTTCCCCTCCTGCGGAGTGCGGCGCGGCTGATTGGACACCTGGCCTGATGGAAAGCCGCTCGCAGCCACTAGGGCCTCTAGCAGCCAGAGTCCCTCCCCTTCCCCCGCTCCCTCCCCCTCCTCCCCCACAGAGCAGCCGGCAGTGTTGGAATCCACGTGGAGCTCACAGTTCTCCGTCTGCCGGGTGAGCGGGGGAGGGGGGCAGGCGGGGGTGTGTGTGTGTAGAGGCTGCAGGGGCAGGGCAGCGGGGGGGAGCAGAGGCTGCAGGGGCGGGGGGGCGCAGAGGCTGCAGGGTGAGGAGGAGCAGGGCAGGCAAGGGCATAGGGGCTGCAGGGCGAGTGGGGAGCAGGGAAGCACTTAGCAACCCCCAACCAAGATCAGAGCGGGAGGGAGGAGGGGGAATGCGGGGTGCTCAGAGGAGGGGGCAGAGTTGGGGTAGGGACTTTGGGGAAGGGGTTGGAATGGGGGTGGAGAAGGGGTGGGGTTGGGGCGGGGCCAGGGGCGGGGAAGGGGCGGAGTTGGGGCAGGGCCGGGGGCGGGGCCGGGGCCCCGTGGAGTGTCCTCTTTTTTAAATGTTTGAATATGGTAACCCTAGGCTAAAGGGGGTGGAGGGAGAGGGATGGGTGGACAGTGACAGATGCAGAGAGTGACAGCTCCAATGGGACAGAGCAATTTAGGGTTGGCAATTTTGGTTGGACAGATTCCTGGAGGTTTCATCACATGACATAATCTTTAATTAAAGATTAATTTTTACTTCCTGGAGACTCCAGGCCAAACCTGGAGGGTTGGCAACCCTAGGGCAGCTGCACACCTGGTTCCAGAACTGGCAGCCGGGTGCAGCGTGTCCTGAGCTTGCCCGGCTCACAGGCTCCACAGGAGCAGCTGGGCACGGCGGGAACACGGCCGGGGAGCAGGGGGTCTGCAGGAACTATAGCTCGGAACTATAGCGCGCTGGCTTGTCCCCGGCCGGAGCACTTAGTGCAGTGCTCCGCCCGGAGCGAAGCCGCGCTGCACGCAGGAGCCGCATGGACCAGCCGGGCTGCGCGGCTCCCCCGAGCGGGCGGGAGCAGGAGCCCCAGCCCCGGGGGTCGCCCTGCGGCAACTGGATGGCAACTCACCCTAAGGTAGGTGGGGGGCCGGGCCCCGGGGCGGACCTTACAGGGGCCCAGCAGAGCGCGCTCCCCGCCGTCCCAAGGCTGCTCCCCGCGGCCCGGGGCAGGAGCCGAGGAGCGGGCCCCGCTGTGCAGCCGGGCTTGGGGTGTCCGGGTCCCGCCGCGGTGGGGCCCACACAAGGCCCCGCCCAGCCGGGTGGCTCGGCGGTACTGCATGGCCCGGCCCCCCGCCTGAAGGAGAGCGGAGCTGTCCGGACTGGGTGCTCCTCCAGCTGTTGACTGCTGGATCCCGCGTGTCCCAGCAGGCTCAGGCTCCCTCCTCCTCCTCCTCCATGGTGACTGAGTTATTGGGGTCATGGTTGTGCATTTATGGTTTGACAGTTGAGGTCTGTAGCCAAGACAATACAAAATAAAATAAGACATCTTCACTTATTTAAATAATATCTTTAGCGTGAATCTTGTCTCACATATACTTGTTAATTTATCTTAAGCTGCTGAAAGCCTTATTTGAAAACGAAGATTGAATAGAGGGTTTCTGCAAATTTCCCAAGAAGTTTTGCTTTACTTCTTGAAGGAATATTTCAAGCTGACAAATTCGATCTCAGTGCCCTGTGGTAGCTTTTCACCACTAATCTTTTTTCTCGCTCTCAGCCTCACCATTGAAAAAAACACATCCAAGAAATAAACAAAAAACAACTTGTGAGCTACCTTCCTTTAGGGAGGAAGGAGAAAAGGAGTACCCAACTGCAATAATGTGTCAAACTGTGAGCATTAAGATCAAAACCTAGAGCAGGGGTGGGCAAATTTTTTGGCCTGAGGGCCACGTCTGGGAATAGAAATTGTATGGCAGGCCATGAATGCTCACAAAATTGGGGTTGGGGTGTGAGAGGGCGTGAGGGTTCTGGTTGGGGGTGCGGGCTCTGGGCTGGGGCCAGAAATTAGGAATTCAGGGTGCGGGAAGGGGCTCTTGGTGGGGGGGATGAGGGCTCCGTCTGGGGGTGCAGGCTTTGGGGTGGGGCTGGGGATGAGTTTGGGGTGTAGGAGGATGCTCTGGGCTGGGACCAAGGGGTTCGGAGGGCGGGAGGGGGATCAGGGCTGGGGTTGGGGCATGGGGGGAGGCTCAGGGGTGCGGACTTCGGGCGATGCTTACCTCAAGCGGCTCCCGGAAGCAGCGTCATGTCCCCGCTCTGGCTCCTACGCGGAGGCGTGGCCAGGCGGCTCTGCGCCGTGCCCCATCTGCAGGCACTGCCCCTGCAGTTCCCATTGGCTGCAGTTTACGGCCAATGGAAGCTGTGGGGGCAGCGCTTGGGGCGGGGGTAGCGTGCAGAGCTGGAGCCCCCTGGCTGTCCCTACACATAGGAGCCGGAGGGGGGCTATGCCACTGCTTCCAGGAGCCATGTGGAGCGGCCTCTGACCCTGCTTCCCGGCTGGAGCACGGTAAGCCCCAGACCCCGCTCCCCAGCAGGAGCTTGAGGAGGGCTGGATCTTGCCCACGGGCTGTAGTTTGCCCACCCCTGACCTAGAGTCTAGACAGACAGAGATAGTTACATGACTAGGTAGACAGAGATTTTATGCTCCCCTTATCTGATCTCTTTTCATTACTTATTTGTATATTATTAATTTGAATGGTGTTTCAGGAAACTTTTTAAAAGAGCATAATTTCTGCCCTGAAAAGCATTGATTGTAAATTCCTTATGACACTGACCTTTGTCGTCTTGGATGTCTGTAAAGCACTATAGGCCCCATGCACGCCAACAGAGCTATATAAATAATGAGTCTCCTGTTACTATTACTCTTCCTTGGAATAGTCAAACTGCTAAGTCTCTTTGTTGGAAGAGGAACTTGATGGATTAATGTGATTTTAATGTAATAAACTTCTTAAGAGTTTAGCATATGGAGAGACCTTATCTTACATTTTATAATCAGAGCTGTTGAGGAGTATTAGCATGTTATTTACTCCTTCATGTAACATAAGAACCAGGGTCTCCCAGTGAAATTAATAGGCAGGAGGTTTAAAATAAACATAAGGAAGTATTTCTTTGCACAACCTGTACAGGGAATGTTCTGAAGGTCAGAAGTATAACTGAATTCAAAAAAGAATGAGATAAATTCTTGGAGGATAGGTCCATCAACGGCAAGATGGTTGGGGATGCATCCCTATGCTCTGGGTGTCCCTAAACCTCTGACAGCCAGAAGCTGAGACTGGACGATAGGGTACGAATCACTCGATAATTGCCCTGCTGAAGCATATGGCACTGGCCACTGTCAGAAAACAGGATACTGGGCCAGATGGACCATTGGTCCGACTCAGTATGTCCATGTTTATGTACTGTAGCAGAAACAGATGAAACTCTGAATCTTTCTCCACAAAAACAGCTCTGTTCCAGAAACAGTCAAGATTCTTTTAATACCTTTTTATCTGGGCCACGCGGAAATATAACTTTAAAATATTTTAAGAGGTCAGTATATTTATTGGTGTTTAATCTTTCTGAATCTTAGTAGCAGTTCTTTAAACAGGCTCCATACTTTCTCATGCTCTTTTGAAAGGTTTTATGTATCTGTACCAATTTGGCTTCTGCTCTGCATTCTTTGATTGCTGTTACATGTTGGTTTCAGCTCACAGAGATGATGTCATTGGATGTGGCTGACAGCACTCAAGTATATGCTGCGTTCTTAGTTTACTTGGATCTTTTAGAAGGTAAATCAATGAAAGTATTTTTCTTGCGAGGCTGAGCAATCTGGGACATCAAATAAAATAACACATGCACTCTGATTTTTGAAGACCTATGTGCTAGTAGCACCCATTCCATGCTCTGGGTGTCCCAAAATTTAGCACAGTAATCATCTACACTGAACAAGGCGCGTGTGAGTGTTATTGAGTGTTTCAGGTATTGAGGAAAATGTAAATTTTGGCCCATGAGTTTGTTCAGACCTGCCATGATTAATTATATCTCTCCAAAGCAAATGATTGATCATTGTTTGAGTGAATGCTATTATATTAATGCAATTACAGCAATCCTGAATAAACATTTTTTAGCTTTATTTCCCTGCCTGAAGGGATTGAGGTCTGCAGTGTTATCAGTATTCTAGCTGTTATCACCCACTTTCTCAGTATCTTAATATTTTTCAAATTTGGGTTGATACCAGGTTAAAATCTTACACTTAAGAGAACTGTGAAAAGAGATGCATGGATTTTTTTGTCTTTGAAAAACAAATATTTGAGTTACACCAGAGAAAGTTCTGGCCCCCATCATAGTACTGCTGAAGTCAGCAGAGCTATGCTGATTTATACCAGCAGAGCAGTGGTTCTCAAGCAGGGGAATGCATACCCATGGGGGTACGCAGAGATCTTCTATGGGGTACATCAACTCATTTAGATGTTTACCTAATTTTACAACAGGCTACATAAAAAGCAGTAGCAAAGTCAGTATAAACTAAAATTTCATACAGACAATGACTTGTCAGTGTTCTATATACTACATCAGCAGTTCTCAAACTGTGGGCGAGTTCGTTTTAATGGAGTTGCCAGGGCCAGTGTTAGACATGCTGAGGCCCAGGGCAGAAAGCTGAAGCCCGAGACCCACCATGCGGGGCTGAAGCCGAAACCCGAGTTTTTAAGTGAGGTGAAACTTGGGTTATGCAAGACAACTCTGACTCCTGAAAGGGGTACAGTAGCCTGGAAAGGTTGAAAACCACTGCAGCTGAGGACCTGGCCTTTAATCTCCTGTGGCTGTTTTATTAAAGGATTGTTCACAAGCCAATAGTTGGCACTTGACTGGGAAAACTTTGTGTCTTGTGGGGAATACTTTGCATCATAGGTGCCGACTCCGTGGGTGCTCCGTGGCTGGAGCACCCATGGGGAAAAATTAGTGGGTGCTCTGCACCCACTGGCAGCCAAGCTCCCCTCCCCGTCCTCGCCTCGCCTCCGCCTCCTCCCCTGAGTGCGCCGCGTCGCCGCTTCTCCCCCTAGCTCCCAACGCTTGCTGCCGCAAAACTGCTGTTTCACGGCGTAACAAGCTCCAGGTGGGAGGAGCAGGATCACAGCGCGTTCAGGGGAGGAGGCGGGACCAGGGTGGGGATTTGGGGAAGGAGTCCAACAGGGGCAGGGAGGGGGTGGAGTGGGGGCAGGGACTTTGGGGAAGGGGTTGGAATGGGGGGTGGGGCAGGGAGGAGAGGGGGGTCGAGCACCCACTGGCGCCAGCAGAAGTTGGCGCCTATGCTTTACATAGGGGGAAAAATAAAGACCACAATAAGTTGACTTTCTTCCCAAATGTATACCCTCCTTTATGATGCAACCAGAGAGAGACCTGTGTGTTGTGCTTTGGTCCCTCTCTTTTAATTTCAGGTAAAAACTGGCATCATGTGACATGCGTTGGACTAGCAGAACTCCAGCTCGTATGTCTCCGTGGGCGTGAGAGAGAAGCTGAGAATTTACAGGTTGTGGTGCCAACACCTGTCCACATGTCATTCACTCATCAGAGGTGAGCAAGTGATCCCAGAGTATTTGGTGCTGAATTACCAGAAAGAAAAAAAAATAGAGGATGTAAATATTGATAGGGCAGCTAATAACTCCTATCAAGCTTTAGAAAAACATTCTCTGCCAAACAAAAAGACGACCCCCCCCCCCCCAAATGAGGGGCAGAGGAAAAACAAAATTGAACACATGAGCTGAGTTATTTCTAGTATTAGGAACATTATGAGGCTGGGATTTTTTCCTTTAGCCTGATCAGTTTCTTTTGCCTTTTCCTCCCTTGAAATCATAACCCTGCAATGTAACGATTTCAACAGCAATTGGCTGTGTGTCTATTCAAAAAATGTTTTGTACTGTTTATAGACCTATCTGAAGTATTCATGGTGATCACCTCTAATGGAGTTTATATGGATAATTCTTTTGAAGTACCTTGAAGTTGATGAAAAATGCTTATTTTCTACTGCTTTTGTTAGTTACTGAATCACAGGAATGGACTCTGTATTTTTTTTTTAATTTAAATATAATCCTGGCCACTGTCTGTCTGAAAATTTGCTTTTACAGGCTGAAAACAGTTATATATAACTGCATTTTCAGAGCTATGCTTTTGCATTAGCTCTATCTAGGAAAGTGCTCTATAAACCCTTACTTTCACAGCTATACATACAATTTCTTGTGGTGCTCAAGGAGGGAGAAACAAGAAAGATGTGCTTTTCTAATGACATGGGTTTTGTAATGGAAAGTGTTTTCAGGGTTACTTTAAAAAGAAATTCTGTTCAGATCCAACTTTTTTTTACGTTTTGGGTGTGTTCTAATGGTTAGGTAAAATGTACAGTATTCTTCCCCATCTGATAATGGCTATCTTCTTTCTCTTCCTCTGCCCCCATGCCTGATATCCTATCCTATGACACCTCTAAGGAACTGTTTATCTAAAGCCCTGCATGGATGCAAAATTTGTATCCGCATCCGATCTGCATACATGGTCCACGGATATAAAGTGGATATCCTCAGATTTGCAGGGCGCTAATTGTCACTTTGGTCATTTATTACTGTGATGTCAGGGGAGCTGCTACCAGATCACACAGTTAATTACACTTGATGTACAGTGAACTTCATTTATATGCATGCTCTGTGAATGTCTTTTTCGGCACATTTACATATTCCAGTGATTTTATAGATGACAGACTTGTCTGAAGCAAACAACCTTGCATCCCAATAGTAAATGTGTAGTAGGTTATCCTGTGGGTATCTCTTCAGCAGCAATAAATCTGTGGCAGGAAATCTGTACTATGGCAACTAGTTATGTGGTTGGAAGTTTTCTAGTTGTAAATTAATAAGATTTTTCAATTACTATTCAACAAACAAACCAATCATTTGGCTATTATGGATATGGTTTTAAAAAGAAATATTACATGTCAGATGGCATGATGCTGCTCTGCTGTATAATCACAAAGCTATTGAAAGAAAAGCTGGGAGACAAAGTATTTGCTACTGTTCTGCTTCTTGTGAAGGTGTTGATCATTTTCTGTGGGGAGGGATTTCTCTCACAGTTTCGGGGTTGGAGATAGGTAGCAAACTAGGATATTGGCTTTTCTCACTGTAGTTGTTTCTGCATGCTGTCTCTTGTTTCCTACGTGTTGGTGGGATTCTACTGGAAGTGGAAACCTTTTCCTCCCTGTGGGTGGGCAGGTGCCAGCAATTCTATGTCCTAACATGTATTTTATTGCAGGGAAATACAGCACAACATTTGTAACCCATCTTTGTATCCCATCGGACTTTTCATTCATGGACTTTCTGAATTTGTTTGTACTGTGGTGGCACTGTTTGCTCTGTTTCTGGCATCAGTGTGGATGAAATCTTTTACTGGACGGATGGTTGACTGTTAGAGTGAATGCATTACATTGATTAAAAGTACAGTTTGTGACCAGCTTTTGCTATTGAGTAAATATATAGAGTACGTTGTCACTAAAATGTGTTCTGGCTGAATACAGTTCTCCACTTACAGATGACTCCATTAAAGCTGTGCATATGCCTGTCCCTAATGCTGGTTTAATAGCCATTGCTGATATCTGGCAGGAGAATGGTATGGATACTGCTGAACACAATGTAGATACATGATTCTTGATGTCTCCAGTATACAGTGACTGGTGTCTCAATGGTCACCATCAAAAGGAGCCAAATAGAATGACCTGAATTCTGTAAACAGCCACAGGAAAAGTCCAAGTGCATCCTTGGGGATGGAATTTCACAGGCACATCTTACCAGTGAGAATGCCTGCCCCCTCTTGCTGACACTGAGCAGTGAGAATCCAGAGGATTGTTTCTGGGGTACAGTAACTCCTCACTTAAAGTCGTCCCAGTTAATGTTGTTACATTGCTGATCAATTAGAGAACATGCTCGTTTAAAGTTGCGCAATGCTCCCATATAATGTTGTTTGGCAGTCGCCTGTTTTGTCCACTGCTTGCAGGAAGAGCAGCCCGTTGGCGCTAGCTGGTGGGGGCTTGGAACCAGGGTGGACCAGCAGCCCCCCCATCAGCTCCCCTAAGTTCCCTGTGCGGCAGCCGCCCAGCAGGCTATTAATTGCCTGTAGTTCAGCTGTCCCTCCCCCCACTGCCATGTGCTGCTCCTGCCCTCTGCCTTGGAGCTGCTCCCGGGAGCCTCCTGCTTGCTGTGCGGGGGGGGAAGTGAGGGGCTAATGTGAGGGTGTCCTCCTCCCCTCTGCTTCTGCGCCCCCCTCCCCCGCTTACCCCATCTCCATAGAGCAGTGGAGACACAACAGGTCTCAGGACGGAGGGAGCTTGCTGGCAGCAGCTGCTGTCTCAACTTGCTGATCTACTTAAAAGGGCAATGTACTTAGAGTGGAGTCAGCATACTTAAAGGGGCAATGCACGTCTCTCACTCACACACGGTGTATATCTCTGTCTCGCTCTGCCTCTCCCTCCATTTGTGCTGCCTTGTAGAGTGTGAGGCTATGTTAAAAACAATGCGTTAACCCTTGAGGGCTCAGCCGAGTGCTAGTTCATCATTTAGCAGTAAGGCATTCCCTGGGAAATATCCCACCCTCTTCCACCCTCTGGCTCCACCACCTCAACCAAGCTTCACAATAATCATTGCTGTGTACGGTATTAAATTGTTTGTTTAAAACTTATACTGTGTGTATGTATGTATGTATATGTATAGTCTTTTGTCTGGCGAAAAACATTTCCCTGGAACCTAACCCCCCCTATTTATATTAAATCTTATGGGGAAATTGGATTAGCTTAACATCGTTTCACTTAAAGTAGCATTTTTCAGGAACATAACTACAACGTTAAGTGAGGAGTTACTGTACATGGGGCAAAAGGTAATGCTGTGTGTAAGGGCTGTAAATAACTAATCTGTAAGTATCCCAAATGTCACTCCTTGAAAATGACTTTTCTATTTGCAAAACAATAAAGTGAATTGTAAAGCTGGTTGGAAATGCAGCAGGTTGCAATAATGCTGATCCTTTGTTCTGACTGTCAGTTTAATGAGCTAACCTTGTCTTGTGTTAGTGTTGAAACCATGGTTTAAATTGTTGATTAAAATGTACTGGCACTATAGCTAACTGAGCCTGGAAATGATAAGCTAAATAAAAAGAAGGTAGCAAATGGCTGATGTTCACTTACTTAATCTATAAGAATCAGGTCTTGGAGCAGGTAGGGGTTGCTGGAGTGGTGATCTCCCTCTCAAAGCCACTTGAAAAGGTACTTGCCAGTGGCCAAAGCAGTTCTGCATCCACAGATGTTTAGGCACAGAGCAGCTTCTTTGGCTGACTCAGTCACTGGAGGAGTGAGTCTTTAAAGGAGCCATGTTGATGGTGCAGTGAGAGTCATTAGTAAAAGAAATAACATGAATGATAAAATTGGATGATTTTTTTTTTTTAAGCTAAAATTCTGAGCAGCATCTTTAAACCTTATTTTGGGCATTTGATACTGAATTTTAGAGGACTTCATTTTCTCATGTTATCAAGTTTATGGTGTTAATTGAAATAATTTCATACGATAAAGCAGTACTCCTTAGAAACTAAGGCCACATTCCTGCAAGCTGCTCCACGTTACCTCCCTGTAACTGCATGGAACCCAATGACTTAGGCCTGGTCTACACTGGGGGGCGGGGGAGCGGGGGATCGACCTAAGATACGCAACTTCAGCTACGAGAATAGCGTAGCTGAAGTCGACGTATCCTAGTTTGACTTACCTCGCTTCCTCACGGCGTGGGGTCAATTGCCGCGGCTCCCCCGTCAACTTTGCTTCCGCCTCTCGCCGAGCTGGAGTTCAGCAGTCGATGGAAGAGCGATCGGGGATCGATTTATCGCATCTACACTATTCACGATAAATCGATCCCCGATAGATCGATCGCTGCCCGCCGATCCGGCGGGTAGTGTAGACGTACCCTTAAAGAGCTCAATACTACTCCTGTTGAAGTCAGTGGCAAAACTATTGACTTCAGTGGAAGTGGGATCTAATCAAATTTACTGCATTTCAAAAGCTAATCTTATTACACAAGCCGAGAAGACTTGGGGCTGTATTTGGAGAGGATGGGCCCACTGTCTGAGTGCTTAAATTTGAGCTTACTGAGGCTTCTGTGAGTAAATACCTATAGAACAAGATTCTGCTTCTTTCTGTCTTGTTCCACCCTCCAATCAAAAATACCTCGCTGGGATGTGGAGAGCCGTTTTTGGCCCTGCTGAATTGAACAGTGATTTGCACAGTAGTAGGAAAGATCAGTCTTGTTTATGTATCTGAGAAGAACCTGTGGATTTTAGCCCATGTGGTCCCTTGGCTCTGCCATGTTCCCTATTTATCGCAGACAGACAGCTGTGTCCACCAGCGTACTACGTCTTGAGTGTCTACTTGTCAAATTAAATTTAACATCCCTGTGGCAGGGAAAACACCACAGCAGCCCAACACTGTAGCATTTAATTTCAGAAAGGGGAACTACACAAAAATGAGGTTAGTTAAACAAATTAAAAGGTACAGCACCAAAAGTAAA